TTTATATATAAGGGATATTTTAGGAATTTTGCTTATCTGTTTTTCTCTCTGGAATGAATAGTTCTGGTTGAATAGCTTTTTCCTCTCGAGTATGCCTGTTAATACTTTATAGTCGAGTCACAAAGTTTAAGTTACGTAAATAAAACTTTATATCTTCGTTTCAGGTACTCAAACAACGTGTTGGAGCAATTGTATGTCATAAATTTTGTGTGTAAAGAAATAAAAATAAGAGAAGTGTTGTCAAAAGAATAAATTTTGAAATTTCATATGGGGACAACTCTCGATTTTTTTTAAGATGACGAGGTTGGAATCCATAGTCGAGCTTAGTATAGAAATTTAGACGAAATTGTCTACAATCAACAAGCAAGCAAGGTGTACGTCTCACAGTAATTTGTAAAATGTAAACTTCCTCTTTGGATTCAAGGTAACACAATGTAATCTCACACTTAATCTCAACTTTCGAACATTTACGAATTGAGAGATAGCAACACAAGGAGATTCGCAAATGTCAAGACGGAAGATCAACTCTTCAAAGCAACTAACAGTAAACCACATCAACTATGGTTAATACATAATTTCCTCTCAATTGTAGCACCATGGAATCCTATGATTGCCCGTATCGAATTAAGCTCGAATAGTACTACTTATAAGCTAAAATTCTTAATTTATCTTTCCAAATAAAAACACACTGAAATTTCATTGTACATGAATATTTCACAACTAAAAGTCCAAAACAACCCTGCCTAAATGGAGAATGTGGAAGTCTTCCAAGTCCAGTCGTCGATTTAGAGGCCATGAACCGAAATAAGTATCTGCTGCTTTAGATGAATAACATCGTCCACAGAAGCAAAAATCCTAAAATATTCAAAACAAAAAAGAGAACAAACAAATTAAATTACAAATCTATAAAAAAATAAAGTAAAGATTTGAGAGTATACTAGGTATATGGGGGAAGCCATTAGTCCCTACACACACCCGCGAGGAATATATTGGATAAAATTTTAACTTTCTATTGTTCATTTCTTAATCTTTCTCAAGTCGTCTAGTATATCTTGCCAAGCATATCATATTTGTTTAACTTATATAAATCGGGTCAAGATTCAACATGGTAGAAACATCACATGTCCCACTAAGGCGCAATTTGGTCTTACACAGTTTTTTACTTGATAGAGTTGAAGTGCGAACCTTTTCTAAATTGAAATTTTTTGAGCAAAAGTCCACGTTAGGGCGAAAAAGAAATGTAAAAGCAAGAAAATTTTCAACCATAATTTTTGTCTGAAAGGGAGTGAAACATAAAGTTGAGGGGGAAAAGCCAAAAGGAATTGCTTTTTTACCTCCAATGCACATTTTGGTTTGAGTTTTGTGCCTCCATGTCCCACTCCAAGCATATCCTGAACAAATCAAGAACAAATATCATTGCTGTGTGCACATATTGATGAAAAATTAAAATATAATTTAAATAAATGTTCACTCCTGTTCTAAATTAAGCAAGAGTGGTGAAAAATCCAAACCTCTTCCATAGCAATTGATGGTGGTGTTCATCCCATTCTGACAAATACAAGCAAAGGATTCACCCAAACCAGAAAACCCACAAAAGCCTCCACTATCCTCACAATTCTTGCATGCATCACTGTAATAAGAGTTGTTGAACTGCAAAGAAATCCCATACTGCCATTTCATAGGATCCCCTTCATCCCCTCCAAATCCATTAACTGCTGAATATGAAGAACACTGGAGCTTAGGAAGATCCAAACCGTAACCCGAACCAAGTGCAGTTGGTGGATCATAAACACAACAAGTGGATATTCCTCCATTTGGTTCTAGTCCAATCCCTTCAACTGATCTACAAGAATACAAACCTCTACATACATTTAAACCCGAACCCGTATCACAAAAGTCTGTATTCCGATCAAACACGGGTGATGTCGTAGAACATCCGAGCAAAACAAATATGTTATCTGGCAATACCGTAAATGGGCTTTTACGTTCCAAGGTAAAGCTTCCGGAGTTCTGCATTGACAAACAGGTCGACATGAGGGGGTCTGTAATGACAATGGTGTTGCTTGAGTAATCTATTGAAGATACTGTGTAAATACCAGTACCAGTTGAGAACTGAAGCGTTCCGTAACTGCATTTTATGTATCTAGCAAAATCAGGATGCCCACAACCAGAACTCGAACCAAAGGGAAACTTTATGGGGACATTACCACATTTATCACGACATTTACCATTGAGAGGGATGATACTGGGAATGGCATGAAGAGGGTGGAGCAAGGAGAGCAAGAGCAAAATCTGGTATGGTTTTGTTAAAGGAAACATGGATAATGGCCAAGAGAGTAACGCAAATGGTTCAAATAAGATAACAAAGTACAAGAATAAATAGAAATTTGAAAAGAATGAGGGCCCAATCGTTTTGGTGGAGGTGATAATTTTCTTTGTTCCTGAAAAGCAGAGCCTAGGTAATGTGGGATCCAGCCGCATAGAAAGAAATCAAGGGTAAAATAATCATGAACCAAGAAATAGAAGGATAACAATTAACAAGATCGGAACCGAACCTAGTGGCATAGGACAGCAAGGCACTGGAGAGGCTTTTGAAAGAGACTAGGGTGAAGCGGATCCTTTAATCGACTATGATAGGTGGCATAAAGACGGCATAACGAATCTCTTTTTCAAAGCTCTATGTTCTTTTTGTTAAGACGACTTTATATACAAGTTCTTATATCGTAAGTAAATCAACCAACGAGGTAATTGCTCAAATGCCTTCAAAGCGATAATAATGAAACCTTTCTTGCTGATTGAGATGCTACATTAGAAGAAGAAAAAACAGCAAGACATTAAAGAATGAATAGCAACAAGAAACTGAATAATATACAGAAGGTTAGGTAAGATAATGTCATTAACATCTCATTACACGCGTACAACATTGTTGACAAGAAAATGTGCTGAACATGGGGCCATTGTATGAGACTTCTCTTGTTTTCCTAGAACATATTTTCATATAATGCACTTTCTTATGCAAATGCTAAAATTTGTACATGATCAAACTGATGGAGATAATAAAAGTTATTTTGTCAAAACTAAAAGAAGTTTAAATGTTATGTATGTGCAACTGATATGAAGAAATTGAAGTCATAGGGATATACTTTGAAGTGTTTGAATGGCTAGTTACAATGATGAGTTATGAACTAAAGTGCCTAACTTCTCCATTGAAAAATTCACTTATGTAGCTCAGTGGCGGATCCAAAAATGTTGGTGAGCTAGGGTGGTTGTTGGCCGTTGACCATTGATAATTGACCGTCAACCGTCGTAATAGCGAGATCGTTTATTAATATTTAATTAAATAATATTAAAAATTCTTCAATCAATATATAAATGCACTAAAACGTAAAAATCATATACATATGAGAATGTAATCCAATACAATCCAAAGTAACAAGAAAAAATACATGATATAACCTCACTCCGTAATTTTAAGCTTAGACAACTGCATTCTTCGGGGTTTCACATATTGAAAGCGTTACAAGATTGTCTCATTCTCAATTTTTTCAAAAATATCTCGCTCCATGTACTCCACCAAATTGTAATTCAACCAGTCATCTCACATTTTGTTACGCAAGTCACTTTTTATTAGATTCATAGCAGAGCATGCTCTTTCAACACTTGCAGTTACCACATGTAATATCAAAACCAATGTGATCAGCCTATAAACCAATGGAAAATAACAAGAATATATTATTTCATCCAACTTTTGAGCTACGCAAGATATGCTATTGAGGTTAAGAAAGCTTTGTCATTTATTCTCACAAGCATAAAAAACTTGTCGAGTTGAGCTCTGAGAAGTATGAGCTCTCAGAAACTCTCACTTTTGTTTTAAGAAAGGCCATTAGAATTTTTTTTTTTTCTTTTCTAGCAATTGATATGCTAAGTCTTGCATTTCATGCGGTGCTAAATATCTTTCGAAATATTGTTGCCAATTTTGGTGAAAATGGCAACTTCACTATATGAGCTCAACTTATACATTAGAGTAAAACTTTCAGGGAATGATATGCATCAGATCCATGAAATAACATAACGACATCCATATCGTTTTAGTACAAATTTGACGAGTTTGAAATCGTTCCAATTCAAATCATAACTATAACAACGATATCTTTTATATCGTTCTGGCTAAAAAACAACTATTTGACCGTCCCAGCAACCTAGCATGTCTTCAACATACGTAAGACGATTGAAAGAGATCATCAAATGGGTTGATACCACTCGAATGGTTTAGAAGGAACGAACGAAGATACTTTCTTTTCACGGAATAGTTTGAAGGTAGTACATAATTATAGAAACACAAATGTTTTCATAGTTTCTTTTGAGTGAGATTAAACTCATTTGATGACCTATTTCGATTATCTTACATATCTCAATGCATGTCGTGTGGTTGCGAACAGTCGAATTGTCGTTTTTAGCAGAAATGATACAATTATCATTTTATATAAACTAAAACAATATATATGTCATTTTAGTTACGATCTAAAATGAAAAGATAATGATATCATTATGTATCGAACTCACGAAATAACATAACGGCATTCATACCGTTTTAGTACAAATTTGACGATTTTAAAATCGGTCCAGTTCAAATTATAATTACAACGACATATATATCATTTATTTTCATATAAAAAGATAATTATATCGTTTTGGCTAAAAATTGTAAGGATTTGAACTGAAATGATACCAATGTCGTCAAAATTATACTGAAACGATATGAATATCGTTATGTTATTTCGTGGGTTTGATATATAACGATATCAATATTGTTATTAAAGAAAACGATATCTATGTCGTTTTATTTATGATTTGGACTCAAACGATTTCAATCTTGTCAAATATACGGATATCGTTATGTTATTTCGTGAGTTTGATTATGATTTGTTGTCTATTTTGAAAATTGCATGAGAAAAGGTCTATGTTGAACGAATGACGAAAGTTTGGGGACCGTTAACCCAAAGAAAATTTGGTTACGTGTGCACCTCTAAGTTATTTACTACCTGAGAGCAAATGATCCCTTGGATGCACACGCTACAACCACCTATGTCGCGTGCGCTGTGCAAGTTTTTTGATATAACGACTTCTATATTATTTTATTAATCTATAACGAATTCAATGTTGTTATAAAAATCTGTAAAGTAGTATATTTTCCATACTGGAACAACATCAATATCGTTTGTGTCTCAAAAACGATTTCCATGTTATATGAATAAGTGTAATTTTCGTACTAAACGACATCAATATCTTTTTGTGTGTCAGGAACAATTTCAATGTCAGTTATGTGAATCATTGCATTCATACTAGAATGACATATTTGTCAGTTATAACGATATAAAAGTCGCTTGTCTGTAATGTGAAAAAAATAACATAACAATGTAAAATGACTTTAATTTTGTTCCAATAGCACAAAAGCGATAATAGCAAAATGATTACAAAATCTAATAAATCGTTTTGTGCTTCTAATAAGTACAAAATAATAAAGATATAAGTCACGACAATATTACAATCTTAAGTTTCATTACCAGTTTGGCCCGTACAAAAGGAACGAACATGACCAGTTTTCTTGCAGTTGGAGCCGTGGACATTATAGGGACAAGAATTGATATCTCCATTTTGCATATATTGTACCGACCTTCAACATATCTTAAGTTCACACAAGAAATTGTTTTCAAAATAAGAATAAGCGTTATTTCCCTTTGCCATTCCCTACATATTTTCATTTTCATGCACCTTCAACTGACTGCTAACATTCAACTAGATAACAAACTGATATCCATATCATATTCGCTCTGTCCATAACTATAATTCAACATAAAATTTTTAAAATTTCATCAAATATCAAACTTTCATACAGTACTGGATATATATGTTGTTATGGATTGCAAAAGATGATATGTAAGTCGTTTTGTAAAGCAAAAAATCAAATGTATATTTCACAGTAGAACAACAGATATAATAGTCTAACATGTGTTTACCAATGTACATTTCACTTCAATTAATAGAAAAAATAGGGTGGGAAGCAACCCATATCAAAACTCTAATCCAATGATAAAATGAATTGAAAATCATTATTGACAAAACCGTATACACACATACAACTATGTGAAGAAATTATTCGGAAAAATGAAAAAATAAAGTAGTCAAAATATAGAAAATTAACAATATATTATCTTCTTCTCCAAATGCTCAACTAGAATGTTATAAGTTTCGAATATAAAATAAAAGATTTTAAAGAGATTATTTGACAACAAGCTGGAATAGCTCAGTTGGTTAGAGCGTGTGGCTGTTAACCACAAGGTCGGAGGTTCAAGCCCTCCTTCTAGCGTTTATTCCCTTTTTTGTATGGTTTACATAATTGCAACAAAGGTCCATAACCTTAATTATTATCAAATTTATGTCCATTAACAAAAAAGTGACACTTTCTGTCCAAAACTTAAGATGATATAAAAAAAGTTATTTATTTCTCGTATTTTTAAATTTAAAAAAAATACGAAATTAAGACATGTATTCCTTATTTTAAAGCACATATTTTGTGATAATGAATAAAGATTAAAGACCTGAATGTAATTAAAATATTATGTAATTGTATAAAAGCGTGATATGAATACAATTATCCTTTCGTAATTTTTTTTTTTTCAGTTGATAAATCTCATTGGATAATTTTGTTTATGTATACAACTCTATATCATTTTCTGTTCATATATTCCAGTGATTATGATGACCTAGTGCTTTGGCCAGATTGATGCTAAGGCCGGTTCTAGTAGAGTAGTAGTTATGATAAATACCTTGTTGTTTTATCAGAATTTGAATCGACTACGTGATATTGGCAGAATTAAAATTGTGCACGATTTAATATTTCGAGTACCATTTTTTAAAAAATAAAATAAAATAAAATGAAAGGCAAACTAATGTAATCATAATTCGGGAGTTGGTACATGGCACATCTAGCCCTTATTTGATATCCATTTTATCTCAAAAATAATGTTTTTATATAGTAATTCTTAGGAAAATGTGTAGTTAAAAAGTAGAAAAAAAAATTACGTTTTAAGTGCAAAATATTTTATTGTGTGAATATGTGGTTGAAAATGAGTGTGTGAAAAAAGTGATTTTCAAATAATGGTTGTAAAATGGGAAATCCCATTACCTTAAGAGACTCTTGATCCCATTTACTATTCATAGTTGAGTTGTATGTTTTCACACTAGACTTTTCTACAAACCAGTTAACAAATATCTTAAAACCTAATTTGTTGCATACTTTTGCCCTTTCTCCTTCCTTTCCCTTCCCCCCCCCCCCACCCCACCTTATTTCCCTTTCCCTCCTCCTGTAAGAGCAGATGATGAAGGCGTTTCTAGCACCTCCACCCTCGCCCACAGGACCACATCAACATGCATGAGGCCCCGACCCACCTCGAGTCTCTCTGCGCAGAAAAGTCCAAGGTAATTTTTGTTCCTCTCTTAAAAGCCTAATTTTTAAATTTATTTGCTGATGATTTTGCATTATTTGGAAATCATGTCTCATCTGCTAAACCACCACAATCCTCTTTTGTCCGTCGCTTGCGGCCCCTCTTTGTTGCGGTGTCCACTTCCCATTTCCATCGCCTGGCCCCAGCGTTCTCGACCAGGGGATTCGTGACCCATCCTACATCGTCTTCACTTAATGATCCGAGTCTGAACGGGTCGAACCGATCCCCAAAGGAGACGATTATGCTCTATGGGTGTGATTTTGAGCACTGGCTCGTAGTCGTGGAAAAGCCCGAGGGGAACCAACTCGAGATGAAATCATTGACAGCTACATCAAAACCCTAGCCAAAGTCGTTGGAAGGTTTGATGATTGGCTTTGTGCTTACATTTTTATGTTTGTAGTTTTATTATTTTGTGCCAAAAAGGATTTGAAGGTGTACCGTTTGATCAGAAAATATTTCCCATCATACTAAAGTTTGATTGTTGTAGAAAATGTTTTGCCGTTCATAGGAAATTTAAAATTGTGGAATGATAAAAATTTCGTATTTATGTTATGGAGTTAAATTTATTTGGAATTAATAAAAGCTAAGGATTCAATTTTGAACTATTTGATTTAGGATTTTGTGATTAAAGGTATTTTGCATTTATTTTAAAGATGAAAAAATCTGGGTTGACAAGTGACCAAGATTGCCAGTTTTTTGGTTTGTTTTGCTGCTTTACTGTCGATGGAGAATTCGATAAAGTAATGAGACATGTTTCTTGTCAAATGTTTGAATATGGTTCACGGGATGGCTTTTTGATCCTCATTCATTTAGTAGGTTATTATTCGGAGTCACCAATAGAGTGTGTCTTATCTGCTGATGTAAATTTTGTTGATACACACTTTGATTTAATTTTTTTCCCCTTTACATGATTATGTTTTCCTAAAGTTTGTACCTTTGCATTATGTGGAAGCATGTATATATCTCTGTTAGCAGTGCAACAATTCTTACCATTTTTGGTATGTTAAATTAACTTTTGAACTTTTTATGTAAGGAAGAAGCAAGAATGAAAATTTATTCAGTCTCTACACGGCATTACTTTGCATTTGAAGCACTTGTGGGAGAGGAATTGTCTTACAAGTTGAAAGGTAATAGTTCTTTTCTTGTAGGTTCGTTATTGAGTATTCTGCTTCAAATCGCTATTGCTAGAGGCAGTAAGGAACCCAAAATAGTTATTTTTTCTAACAATGATATTGGTGAAGATTTCCTTCAGAATTAAGATGCCCTGAAACTTGGATCATATTTGAAGCATATATGATTGATTTTTCTTATGCTTGTCCTAATGAATAATTGTTTCTTTTAAAAGAACATGACTTCAAACTGCAAACAAGGCTCCAAATGTTCCTCTTGGAGATGTTTTCAAGTCAAGACTCAAGCAATTGTCGTTGATGAATAGGTCCAAGAGGAAGGCTTTGACGATTGGTTTATCATTATAGTTTCTTTTGTTATTTTCTCCAATGAAAATGTTTCAGAAAGATATTTGAGCTTCTGCTTCTATGATTAGGTAATTGTTGATTTCTTCCCCAACAAAGAACTCGAAGACATAAAACAGATGTTTGCTAAGATAGACAGTGACAATGATTGTATTATTTCAACTGGAGAGCTGAAGGTTGGATTACAAAATTTCAATTCACAGTTAGCAAAGTCTGAAGTACAAATGCTTATTGAAGCTGTGAGTCTACAACTTACCTCGCACTATTGAGACATACGAACACTTGTTTTTATTTACAATATTTTTTTTTCATTTTTTGGTTTAATCGACAATAGAGTATTCCAATGATGTGAGCTTGAGGGTTCACATATGAATGCAAGATGGAAGAATCAGTTATGATGAATTTGTTGCTACAATGAAAATGGTGAAGAAGGCTTCTTGGCATTACTTAAGAGGGAGATTCAATAGTGTAAGCATAAATTTCATGAAAAAATGGTTCCATTAACTTGTGAGTAAATATATACTCATTTATCAGTATAAAGTCTCGGCATTCCTTATATTATATGGGGTTCCATCGATTGGTGGCTTACAATGATCATGGACGAGACAAGTACATCTGATTAGCTTCTTCGAATTGTTTAGTTAGTAAAAATAGTCTTGTATGCTATGAATATGCCACGCATGATCCTATCCTCTCATTATTTCTTGGGTAATTCTGAATTTTGGATAAGCTAATAGATGAAATAGTGCTATTTTATGCATTGAATGTTTAAAAAAAAGTCACCAAAGAAAAAAGGAGGTATAAATATATTTTGCAGACACGCTAATATTACCTTAAAATGACAAAACCCATCCATAGCATGGGCAGATGAATAGTGGTAGAAGAAGAGAGCTTTAATAATGATATAATATATTAAATAAATGTTAAGAAACGCCTCAAAGTAGCATCAGCGGTCCAGTGGAAGTTTAATACTCTGCCACTGTTTAGACCAGGGTTCGATTCCCAGCTGGTGCATTATGTAATAGAAGTGCAGTGATGATTTGTCTTGCGCTTGCTCAAGTGGTGACCGGGGGGTCTCCACGTACGTCTCATACACGGACGAAAAAAATGCGCATCTGAGCCTTCTATTTTTTTTTATTATTATATATATGTGTTCTATTTTTATTTTTATTGCGGGATCGGGCTTTTGCATGTTAAGAAAAATGCTCATATTATTTGTTTAATGAATGGAAATTCATGGAACATATTTGGTGATGTTGATTTAATGAAATTGGATTACTTTTACAATGTATTCTTGATTTTTTTCATTCTGAAAGTTTTCTGTAAATACATATACGATATAATAAATTTTCCTCTTAGAATCCTAAAAATTCAGATTAAGGATCTGTTTGAGCCCTATTTTTTTTTTTTTGTGTAGAATTCATTATGGAATAGTAGATTGACGGAAAATGTGTGATTAAAAAGTAATGAAAATTTTTAATATTTTGCGTGAAATATTATTTTATTGAAAAACGTGTTATTGAAAATGAGACGAAAATAATGGAAACCAAAGAAGGGTAAAGTGTTTTTGTTGCTCGTTTATGAATTTTCGTCTTTTCTTGATGCAGGCTTTAGTAAGGCTTGTCAAATTCTCAAGCTATTTGACAATATATTTTATAAGAAATATCAAGAACGATCTTTTAGGACAACGTTATAATAATGTGGTATGAGGTTCTTTTTTAGTATTTGTTCGATGTTTCATTCTCATCTTCCTTCTAATTATATTTCTAACGTTTCTTGATTAGTCATTAAAATTCTTGAAATATCTCGAGTATTTTAGTTCGCGTTAACTATGATACGAAATGTAGGCGTTTAAATTTTTATTATAAGCAGCAAGATTAGCCACATCTGTCAAACTAAATATAACCTTCCATTTCATATTTTGCTAACTAATTGCTTTGTTGATTCTGATATTTTTCTCGATAAACAAGCAAATCTTAAATGTAAATTTGGACAGTTCTTTAATTTGTTTGTGTTATCTTTGTACAAGGAAATGCTAATTTTCTCTAAGTCGCTCCATTATAGTACTATCCTAAGTCGCCTTATCGACGTCGTGTCTTCTCAGACCTTTACAACTTGAAGCAAAAAATTAATCCTCAAAAACTAAATGAGAACTTAAGTGCTATATTTTACAAATGTTAGGGACTCAAAAAAATAATTTTCTCAAATCGAAATTTTACATTGCCAATTAGATGGGAATTTAACAGAATAAACAGAATTGAGGGACTAAAAAAGCAAATTACAAAATCGCCTGTGTCAACACTTCTACAAAACAGTTTCAGAAAGCTAAGACCTTGAGATCTGCAGAAATGGAAGAAGAACACATTAAAACGCATCTCTCGCCGGATTATACTGTAATCGAGGAGTGGAACGGAACGGCGTTTTCGGATCTCACAAAAACCGCCACCATCACAATCACTCGAGATTCCGTTAAAAAATCAACCAGCCGATTCAACCATTTTTCTCGGCGATTTCTCGACGCTTTTGTTCCCGAGGCAATTTCTCTATTTTCTCAATTAAGTAATTTAAATTTTCAGGTCAAAGTACAATGAAGGAAGCATGAATGCTAATGTAGAGTACCTTATTCTTCAAAAGATTGTACCTTACCAGATAATTGCTTCTCAATTATGTGATAAAAATTTCAGGCTAAGGTACGATGAAGGAAATAAAGTACTAATATTCTTTGTGCTTCGCTTGTATAGTACCTAATTCTTAAAAGATTGTGCCTTGACTAGATAATTGATTTACGCCCTAAGCAGTTTGATCTCGCCATTGTTTGGCAATAATACACTGTGAAAGGTACAAGAATGTAGGCACATGGTAAAACATCGAAGATGAAGTACTTTTTGCTTCCAAGCTGGGACCTTGCCTACTCATTTCGTGCTTGTGCTCGTATACTCGAGTTCACATTAAAATGATAATTCTTTAATCTGAGTTATAATGTTTTAAGTTAAGTTTGCTGATTTTTATTTTATGAATACGAATTTAAATAAGAATGAAATGGTCAGGAAAAATGTTTACTTCACACTTCTTCAACTGAAAAATAGGCAAAACTGTAGTTTCTTTTTTTCTTCAAAAAAAAATAGAATATGCTTATGACACGAGAATAACATTTCTATTATCAATTCTGATTATGCAAGCAGCGTGACTCTGTTGTTGATATTTTACTTAAAATTCAGGGATTTCCGAGCAGTGTGACTCCAGATTATATCCCTTTTCAAATATGGGATTCATTGCAGGTTTTTCATCATTTAATTTTATGCTTCAGATTTCAAGTTGGATCGTTTTCTCAAATTGGACAAGACTGTTCATGATTTTATTTTATATAGGGCCTTTCAACATATGTGCGAACAATGCTCTCCACCCAGGTGAGTTATTAACTACACAGCCATGCGTCTATATCTTTTGTATTGCTATCTGTTGCTCATTTTGAGTGTTTGCATTCTTTTTTAGGCTCTTCTAAGTGCTATTGGAGTAGGTGAAAAATCTGCTACTGTTATTGGGGCTACATTTCAGGTAAGCCTATCTTTTGTGTGACTTTTTAGTTTCATTCGTTGACAAGTATAATTTTCCAACATCACAATTTTGAAACTGTTTCAGTGGTTTCTGAGAGATTTAACTGGAATGCTTGGAGGGGTCTTATTTACATTTTACCAGGTAGATGTTGTGTGCTTTCCAAATTGCTCCCAACTTAATCCGTAGCTCGAGTCTTGACACATAATTTTGCTGTTCAGATTTTTACTTTCTAATGTCAAATCACAGGGAAAAAGTTTCTTTATTCTTGGAATTCCTTAATATTTGTTGATGTTCAATCAAGTCAATGGAATTATATATGTAACATAAATAGAGTGATAATAGTAATTATGAGGAAATGATAAATATGTGAGGTGTTGCGAGTTCAAAGTCCTGGATGAAAACCTGAATACATGTGAGTTCAGTGGCTACTGTTGTTATAAGGTCTTCAATTTCAGTTAAAATTTATCATGTCAATGAGAGTGGATGGTTGATTTGTTTATTTTCTTTCTGTGCTGTGTTTTCAATACACAGCAGCTTTAAGCTTTAACACCAAGATTTCTTCCTTTAGGGGGCAAACCTGGACAGCAATGCCAAAATGTGGCGTCTTGTTGCTGATCTCATGAATGATATTGGTACTAATACAATCACATTTCTTTTGTAGAATTTTTCAAGTATATATCTGTTGTTTTTCGTCAATCTTAGCAAGATGAAAACTTTTGTTTTCTGGATAATTGCACCTGGGGTCCCCAGTCTTTTCATAAGTGTGCACTTGGGGGGGTCCTCAACCAGTTTTTTTTTTGGCATTGGAGTTCCCTTCATTTTTGTAGCACTTATGTCCCCAACTAATTTTCTCATGAATGTTCATTGGTTGTTATTTTCTTTCTTGTTATCAAGTTTATCTCTACATAATTTGATGCAAAGTTTTCTTTTAGTAACCTTTGTACTCTTCATGATTTTTAATTTTATCCTATAACATGTAATTGGCTGCAGGAATGTTAATGGACCTTGTTTCGCCTTTGTTCCCTTCTGCATTTCTGTTCATCGTGTGCTTAGGGAGTATATCACGATCATTCAGTAAGTTCCAAAATACTATGGCGTCATTCTATGTGAAGTTCCCTTATATATGGTATCACTATCATACTTTGTGAAGTTAATTCACCCTTTCTTTCTGAAACGAAGTTGTTGAAATCTATAAGTAAGCATTTGCACCTAAGGTGCAGTAAGTTGAGGATACGATAGGAAAGACAACAAAATATTATCAAAATGTGGAAGACATCTTTCCATCTTTATTTATTTCGAACAAATTTATTTTTGAAGTGTTCCACAATAAGTGTGTCTCTCCATCAACATGCTCCTGCTGAGTGCTGTTTCTTGGTGTATAACCAACGTTTATGCAGTTCTGAAATCATTCTGCGACCAAGGCACAGTTATAAGGCAGGATTAGAGTTTCATTAATCTCTAATGAAACTTTCTTTTAACTTAGTAATAGCCTACTTTTGGATAATTGGATATAAACATCACCATTTATTTTTGTTTTGCTAATGTTCTTCATGAGTTAATGATTAACTTTCTTGAAACACCCATGTGTTAATGGAAGCTGCCCATTTTTTGCTCCCAAGTTCTGAAGATATATATATATTTTTTTCATGTTGCGCTAGCTGGTGTTGCTAGTGGAGCTACTAGAGCCGCTTTAACGCAGCATTTTGCCCTTCAGGATAATGCAGCAGATATATCTGCAAAGGTATCATATAGTTATAGAAGAAATTGCACTAATGGAAATTCTAGTTTATAGATTTTTATAATTTTTATTTCCGTAATTTGGTAGGAAGGAAGCCAAGAGACAGTTGCAACAATGCTTGGGATGGCTCTTGGGATGTTCCTTGCTCACATTACTCTGGGGCACTCACTTGCCATTTGGTTTTGTTTTTTGTCCCTCACCATATTTCATATGTATGGTTAGTTTCACTGGATAGTTTTCTTGCTCATAAGCCTACTACAGGGATGCTTCTCATGTGGTGAGCTTAAAAACATCAGTGAATCTAATTCTATTCTCTCATTTGGGTTCTACTTTGGACTTATGCAGCAAATTACAAGGCAGTTCGTTGCCTTTCACTTACTACATTAAATTGTGAAAGAAGTTCTATTCTTTTGTCACATTTTATGGAGACTGGTCAAGGTGAGATGCAGAATCTCTAGAATTACTTTTGACACTGCATGTTCTTTGCTCGCTCCTACACATTCGTAGTCCTCTATTGTTTTCCAAGGTCATTCACGTGGATTATGAGTTTAACTATGGGCCCTTTTCTCATTTCTCCTGAAAAAGGCGGTTACAAAAAACCAACGTCTTGTTGCAGACATGAACTTGTAATATTTAAAATGAGAAACTTTTGTTCAGAAACATGTACTTTTCTATTTTTTCCCCTGATTAATTGAGTTTTTTCTATAATTCTTGTCTGCCACATCGATTTACAGTTATCATATTTGTACACTGAAATACACTGACCTGAAAACATTCTCCGAACTATTTGCCAGTTCTCACTCCAAAACAGGTCTCAGCCATGGAGCATGTTTTGCCACTGTGGATGACTTCATGGAGCACAAATAGGGTTAAAGTTTTGTACCAGCGTGTACGCATAGGCATCCGGATATCTTCGATCAACTGTCATGAAATGTGAGTTGTCAGCTTTTATCCTATTGATTTGATGTCAAGCCTCAAGGAATCTTAGGGTTGTTCATTCTGTTTGTTAGCTTCTAATAATATTTCCTGTTTGCTGTTCCCTCTGCATAAATATTTTGTCAATACATTTGCAGTTAAAATGGCTCGAAGGGCTTCTTGCATTATTTTCTTAACTACAGATTGAAACAGCGTATGAAACAAATTTTAAGACTCAAAGTTTCTGTTCATGCAAGCAGGTTGGACCTATCTCACCTGGCTGGTTCCTATTACAAAACAGGTTGCTATTTTTTCAAATCATTTCTTTTTCTTTCTTTCTTTTTTTTTGCACATATATACAAATAAAGATATTGGCCTATTCTTTTTTTTCCTTTTTTTTTTTTGGTCTTCATAGCAAAGTATATACTACTAGAGAAAAAGGGAATAATCAGCATCATTATGCACAAAGACTCAGCAGCAGCAGACCTCTTACAGGCTTTCATGCATGCGCTTGTAATGTCAGAACTTGTTGATAAAGACAGATCTGTGCATTTGGAGAGCCAATCATGGATGGCTAAATACTATGAAGTCTTTGTACTGAAGGTATTTTAGTTTATAACCATTGAATCTGTCATTGGACACTAAGATGCAAGGCACTGACGTAAAACATTTCAGATGTTTAGGATTTGTGTTATATATTTCACATGTTTCGGATTTCTTAAGCAACACCGTTCAGATGTTGGAACATCTGAAGTCTATTTGAGGTTGCAACGGCTCTGTGTGAACTTCATAGATGTGTAAAACACTCATGAAGCATATTCAAGATTACCATTATACATGATGCGCTCTAAGGAGAAAGATATTACTCAAGGGGTAAAACGCTCATTTTATGAAAAACGTGAGAAATATATTAGGAGGCGAATTTATTGTTGGGCAACCATTTTCTCACGGAAATGGTGCAGATGAAGATGAGAGTGGTTCAATAGCACTTGTGTTTTTGCAACTTGTTGATCATGGATTCAAAGATTTGTTAGTGGTGGCGTAGGATATGTTGAGGTTGGAGTGCAACTGATGGTGGTGGTTATGATGACCACGATGATGAATAGATGAAAAGAATTATGGTGCAGTGGTATTTTGATGGATGAACCAAAATGGGTTGGGGGTGGGTGGGTAAGTGGAGTCTTTGACGGAGAATGTGGTGATTGAAGGTGGCAAGTGGAGATGGGACATAATCGTGGATATGACGTTATGATTGAATATCAAAGTGAAACGTTCCAAAATGTTGGGATTTGATGGCTGGAACACTCTTTAAGGAACTGAATTACCCATGTCATTTTTTTCTCTTCGTAAATCATACAAGACCTCAATTTCGTGTTTTGAGATCTGCCATTTGTTTCCGGGAGGTTGTTGGAAAAGGAAAACAAATCTCGAAACCAATCATAGTTTTGAACTTGATATTTCCAATGTTGAAAGCAAAACTATAAAGGCAAAAAAAAAAAGAAAAAAAAAAACTCCCCAAACAGCCCCCCGCTCCGTATACCTTGCTGCAAAAGTTTTACTTGGGAGAACTTGGCTGGCTTAAATTATTGACTTGTGTTTATGATATTTCTGGTTTTTTACTTACCTTTCAAGGCTTTAGCTAGGAAGAATAGGCAGCTATTGAATCCAGGGCGAATATTTATACTGTGGCCGAACCTAGCACACTTGTATATATGTTAAGCTCTCTCAGTCCTTTCGTGTTGATAAATTAAGCTCAATTTCTGGGGGAGAGTGATGGGAATTTTAGTAGTGCATGTTCCAATGCCATGTTTTTTGCTCATTTTTGCATATGCATATTATTTTTGAAAACTATAATCTCTCCTCCAACTCTTTCTATATTATCTCTTCATGAGTTCTGTAATTTGATATTTGTTCTGCTCCTTGTGTGGCAGCTTCAATCAGCTGGTTGGAAAACGGAACGTCTTTTGTCACCCTCAGTTGTTTGGAAGGCAAATTGGTTATTGAGATCTTCGGACGAAAAACTAGACTAGGGAACTAACTAGCTCAGTTTTATTTATGTGAACTGAATCTTAAGAGTATTTAATTGGAATATAAGCTATTTTTGGGTTACTTATCTCAAAAATTGTGATAAACTTAGTTTTGGAAACTTTTGATTTGTCGAATGCACTTTTGATTTAAACCATTTTGGAGAGAAATTGTAACTGTAAACATTCATTATTTGCCATTGACAAGTGACCTAAATGAATTTACATTCAAGTGAATTTATTTTTCTTGCAACTGCTAATATTGCCTTGATTGTATACATTTTATCCTTCCACAGAATCAGCAGCCCAGCTTGAGTCAGTAGAGTTTGAATAGAATCAAGTTGATTGTGCAATTTGCCTAGAACAGTTGATCATTTATACCACCATGACAAGCTCAAAACAAGAAATTTCTTAATAATTGGTTCTTAGGTGCACTTTGAGAAGCTCCCATTTCTTTCCATTGCCAACAGTAGAGTCGAGAGAAATCAGCATACTAGACAGAACAGGTGCTAGTGCTAGTAAATCTACTTAAAAATAAAAAATATGGTCTCTCCATCTGGATATACATGGGAAAATTCTAGACAAAAGAGTTGACAACCCCCACACATCTCCAACCAAAGGGAATCAAATTCCCCATACGTTTTCAATAAGAAAGGTGGGAGTTGTGCCAAAGATGAAATTCCCATAATATGCCTAAACATAATGACCCTACTAATAAAATACCATCCATACATCAAAACCCTTGAAATCGTTACCACCCTTTAATCCATTATGCCCTTAGGTTCAACAAGCCTGAAATGAAGAGGGTTAGGGAGACACATATAAATAAATTAGTGCCTTGAACCAGTGTGACACTAGTGTCACTGCTGTCTGTATTGGTGAAGCCACTTCCAGTTGGTCCGAGACCAAAACCGGGAGTACCCGTAGTAGTGCCTGGAACCATAGTCGAGGGGGTTCCTCCAGTTGGGGTGCCTCCAACAGGGGTGCCTCCAGTTGGGGTGCCTCCCATGGTTGGAGTTCCTCCGGTAGTCGGGGTGGTGGACGGGGTTGTGCTTGTTCCGTTGCTACACAAAGTAAAGAAAAAATAATCATTTTCTTTAGAGCCGGAATATTGGACCGAATGAGTGGGGGTATGTTCAGTGAAAGAGAACCTAACTAGATAATAACAAGTGAACATGACTCAGAGCAGAAAAAGTTGATTATATTCACCTTTGACCAATTTAACTTTTAATCAACACCAACCAGAAATATGTTGGTACATCTACATCAAGACAGGTCACGCATATTGATGATTTCGGCCATGATTTTGTATCAAATTTCAATTTTATTAAACTCAAACTGTATCTCCTTTTTTGGTAATTTCAAGAAACATAACCATCCACAGCATAGAATCAATTTCCTAAAACTGTAAACATCTTCATAAATTGGATGATCTAGTAAAAACATCCTCTAGGGTTAAAAAAAAGTACCTGGCACTAGATGGATACACACATCCAGAAGTTGAGGCTGTAAATAATCAAAATAAAACAAAAAAAATAAGTAAAAGGTTATGAAAGTTAGCTTATTTAGATATAAAATAATCTGCTTTTGAGGGATTCTTGAGAGACTTACAAGAAGGTGCAGATTGAGATACTGTAGCAGTGTTTAAGAAATTGCAGCTCTGAGCGTTTTGTCCCTTCTTCTGGAAATAGCTATTCACTGCATAGTTACAGTGATCTTTGACAGTATTTGGGTTATAACAAGGGCCATTTTGCGTTATTGGAGTACAATCTGCTCCAGCTCCACAGGCGTAATCTATATTCTTCTGATAAACATCAGTACTCAATCCATCATTGCAAACGCAATAAGCAGCATCTGCAACAAATTTGATGGGGAGGCAAAAATTAGCTCAAACCCAAAAAATCAATTTCTTTCAAGAAACTTTAACATATGCTATAATAAAACATCAAGAAACTGTAATAGAAGCCCCAATCTTGAAAATAAAGATCAACCCTTTCACAAATCATTAGTAACAAAGGGAGAAAAATGAAGGGATTTTAGGAAAAAAAATAACAAAAAACCATACCCAAAAAAAAAAAAAAAAACTAGTAGAAAAGATAATAAACCAGAAATCAAGAAACTTACCTGAATGGCCAGTAATGGCAAAGAGAAACAATAAAGATAACCAAAGAGCAGCCATGATAATTTCAAGATATTGCAGAAATTATGAGTGCTTGAAGAGTTCTAGATAGGAAGAAGCTCAAAAAGTTAGAGAGAGAACTGGAAAAAGATGGTAAGTTTAGAGAGAGAGAGAGTGGAGATCTCTGGACAAGAGAAAAGAGATTGGCGGTGTGTAGCAGTGTAGCCATTGTACGTGGCTTTGGCTTCTTATACAAAATAATGTCAGCATTTGGACAGCATTATTATATATTGTTTTGTTAAGTGTTTTACAGGAACATGTGTAATAAGGTGAAATATTTTGTCATGTACTCTGACTGTATAGTACTATGTACATGTGTCTCTGTGTGCATCTTTTCTAACGGTCATAAACTCATGTGTATGGTCAAGATTTAACCCATCTTGGTTAAATTAACTCTTCCTTTTTCTTTTCTTGGCTTTTTTCCCCGGATAATTGTTTAAAATTGAGAAAAAAAAAAATTGTTTCAGATTTTCCTGAAATAAATATATATATTTTTGTACAAGAAATTAGGGAGAAAATCGATTATGACAATAAACCAATTAATTTCAAGAATAAGTATTTCTAATCTTAATTCTGTCATTTCTTACTTATCAGAGGTCGATCTTTAAAACTAAACGTTACATTCTTTTGAATACTAAAAAAAATGGACAAGTTACTCGTCATCATGCAATAAATTGCTCTCTCTCGTTGAAAAAAAAAACATAGAACTTTCTATGTGTAAGAAAATGCAAGAAGAAATTTAAGTTTATATTTTAGAACTATGATATTAACATCTAGAAATGCTACAAAAGTAACTAAAACTTGTTTCTCACGAGAGTAAGATCCTTCTCATTACGGGAAAAGGCAATTATTTTATTTCCAATTTTAACAACAAAAGTCACTTTCTTTTCGAATCATTTATTGATACGAATATCCTTGCTGAATCTATTTTCAATTTATTTTATATAATGCTCAATATTAAATAATACTCAACCATTTTACTTCTTGCAGCACTTCGAAAATTTTTATTAACGGGATTGAGTAATGTACAAATTGATGATGTGGAAGAAAGAGAGGGAAAAAAAAAAAACGAAGTCAGTTAATACTAATATAATCTACATCTTCAATCTCTATAACATTCTGTAGCATTACTCAATATTTTTATTACTATTATATATTTTTTAAATATTTCAATTAAATATAACAACTAGAAAATTAATTAGGAATTAATTAATTTTTTTTTAATTAGTCTGGAACATAATTATTTTTTAGGAAGATATAAGGTTGCATGAAGGGCCTCCACTCCACTAGGCTTTGTTTGTAGTACTTTATTTCTGGTGTGGTGTCACTATAATATAGCACTATACTTGCTTTTTATCAGTATCTGATTCTTCATCTCTTTGATCTTTTACTGTTTCAAAAAGTATATTAAAATTTATTTAAATTAATTTTTTTTTTTACTTTTTTATTTTTTATGAGCATCGACAATTATTGGGCTTGTTTAATTGGATCTGTGGTCATGTTTCTGTCGATTCTGAACTACAGATGATTTTATTTGGACATTATGTCTGTGTTCGATGCGTACGATACTCTTGAAACATTTTAAGATCGAGTTAATTTTAAATAACATAAATTATGGCCATTTGAAATTTCGAAAATAAGAGACTGTTCAGTGTATAATGAAAATTGCATTAAACCTTGAATAATGATTAATAAAAGATATTTAAACCAATGATGTCATGTACATCATCGACCTAGAATCTATAAAGTTTGCAAAAATATTCGTAGGTTAGTGAACCATTTTGTGTAGAGGATAGGACAGCAAACCATTTTCTACAAGGCGAATTGTCCAATTATATGCATTAAAACTTAATTCATCATCCAAAGGTTACGAGTTCGAATCCCCTACCAACACTTCTTCGGTCGGCCCCGTCGCACCGGACTTATCTAATGCGGTTTACCTCTCCTTTGTAGTTTGTGAGCTATTGTACATGGAGCATGGTTTACCCGATCGCCAAAACTTAATTCATCAACCAAAAGTCACGAGTTCGAATCCCCTGTCAACACTTCTTCTGTCGACTCCGTCACACCGGATTTGTCTAGTGCGATTTACTTCTCCTTTATGGTTTGTGGGCTACTGCACATGGAGCATGGTTTACCTAATGCGCACTCATAGTGGTCGGACATCCGTTCCTTCAGGGTGGTCGAAGCTCCGCTAGCGGGTAGCGACTGCGGGTTCCTACATCAACAAAAAAAAAAATTAATTTTAAATAACATAAATTATGGCCATTTGAAATTTCGAAAATAGGAGACTGTTCAGTGTATAATGAAAATTGCATTAAACCTTGAATAATGATTAATAAAAGATATTTAAACCAATGATGTCATCTACATCATCGACCTAGAATCTATGAAGTTTGCAAAAATATTCGTAGGTTAGTGAACCATTTTGTGTAGAGGATGGGGCAGCAAACCATTTTCTACAAGGCGAATTGTCCAATTATATGCATTAAAATTTAATTCATCATTCAAAGGTTACGAATTCGAATTTCCTACCAATACTTCTTCGATCGATCCCGTCGCACCGGACTTGTCTAGTGCGGTTTACCTTTCCTTTGTGGTTTGTGGACTACTGCCCATGGAGCAGGGTTTACCCCATCGCCAAAACTTAATTCATCAACCAAAAGTCACGAGTTCGAATCCCCTGCCAACACTTCTTCGGTCGACCCCATCGGATCGAACTTGTCTAGTACGGTTTACCACTCCTTTATGGTTTATGGGCTACTACACATGGAGCATGGTTTACCTAGTGCGCACTCATAGTGGTCGAGCATCCGTCCCTTCAGGGTGGTAGAGACTCCGCTAGCCGGTAGCGACTGCGGGTTTCTACATCAATTAAAAAAAAAACTTAATTCATCGACTACATAGGGTTCACTTGGATGGATTTTTGAGGAGTTAAATGGAGATTTGAAACTCGTTTTGTTAATTTTATAAAAATATATTTTCTAATTAGAAAAGTTTTTCGAGGAAGTTGATTCAACATGATTTCTCTAAAAACTCTTTCAAAAAAAAAAAACTCTTTTAAAAATTAGTTTTCAAATCACAACTAAGGTAGTTTTTTCAAGAAGTTCTTCTACAAGAAGCAAACATAATTAGCTAATGGACTTGTAATCTGCTAAGTTATCGGTGTGCGAAATATGCTAGTGTTGATTTGAGCATTTAGCTGATGTGACGAAATTAGCACCTTGACTTTGCTCTTGCTTTTATAATAAATGTTGATCTAGCTCTAATCTAATAGTTCGAACTATACATGTGCAACATATTGCTTGAATGATAAAAAATGCTTTTTCAAATGGGGGTCATTTTACTTTAATTGATTTCAATTGGACAATGCCACTTTGATTTGATTTTAATTAACTATATTTTAATTAAATTTCAAATTAAATTATCTTTCTCAAATTCAACTACGAGAAATTGATGGAGTGAGTGAATATCATCACACGTGTTTGTTAGTTGCTGACCTAGAACGATTGCAAATTTAGTGAAATAAGTGACGATTTTCATTTATTGACAATTACGATATTGATCTTCCTCAATCCAAATGATATAATTGGATGGAGTAACCCAATAGAAATCAAATTGAAGTGCATTTGTCCGATTGCAGAAAATTGAAATACATTTACCTATTAAAATATATATACTGTATACAGAAATGAGATGAGCACCAATGAATTGGTGGATTGGAACTCACAAAATCTTTATCCACCAATGAATTAATGTGCCAACTCATCGGTGCTTAGGATAAGATGAGCACCAGTGCTCATTAGATCATTTCTGTATATATATATATATAGCTACTCGAAGATAATTTACCAAAAATATAACTTATAAGTAATTTTAGAACAAATAATTCTTTTAGATCAGATTAGGCCCCTATTTGATTCTTATTCTCTAAAAACTTATTTTTTTCCAAACTCATTTTAACCACACATTCTTCAAACAAAATAATTTTGCACGTAATCTAAAACTTTTACCTAATTTTTAACCACATATTTCCACTTATTACTAAACACTAAATTACATATTTTCATAGTGTGAAGTATGACTCGCTTTCAAAGTAACTTACTTAATTATCAAAACATGTTTGAAAATAAAAAAGAGTACGTAAAAAGTTTGGACAATTATTCGTTTGGCGGAGAAATGTGAAGTGTGAACTTGAAATATGACTAAAAAAATGTAACTTTGCACAGTGATGATTCGTGATTTTTTAGTGATTATTAGGAAGTAGAAAGGTAGAAAGGACGAAAGACACATTTTGTACTAGAAGGCTTGTTAAGGAGGTTTTCATATTGGGACCTAAGTTGGAAAGAAGGATAATGCTATGTGTACAATTTGTGATGTACACAATCTTTTACATCCCCCTCACATGGAGGAGGGCCCACAAATATTTTATTGTGTGTGGGCCTCCTCCATGTGGGGGGAGAAATGTAAAAAATTGTGAACACATAGCACAATCTTAAAAAGAATGAAAGACATATTTTGTATTAGAAAGCTTGTTAAGGAGTTTTTCATATTGGGACCTACCATCTGTTCATACAACTAATCCCACCTCCTCAATCATCATTTAGTTGTCACTATTAGTTTATCACAAATATGTGATTTTGCTTTAGCCAACAAAAAAGTTTAATTTCTGGTTTGTGTTTATTTCTTGTATTAAGTTTGATGACCTCAATTTTTATACCTCCAACGTGATCAATAGATTCTAAGGCCTCAAGTCCACTTAAGTCGATTTTTGAACACTGAGACAAACCGTTAGCCACATGTGGCATTTCCAATCGGTGGTGCAGTTGGCCGCGCATCTCGAAGGCCAAGTCAATTGATAATATATGTGTTTGAAGTGTGGAATGTGCTTTAGACGCGAGCCTCCTATATAAAAAGGGTCGACTGTGGGGTATTCTAGAGCATTAAGAGAGATTGCAAAGTTGTAGTTTGAAAATCTAAACTTGCATTATCTTTGAAAT